CTTGTAATTTATATATCTCTAGTTTATTTTTCCATTTCACTTTTCAGTTTTTGTATTTAAAAAAAGAACTGGTCCAGTCAGACACAGTGGCTCATGCCTGTAATCCCAGCACTTTGGGAGGCAGAGGTGGGCGGATCACAAGGTCAGGAGTTCAAGACCAGCCTGGCCAATATGGTGAAACCCCATCTCTACTAAAAATACAAAAATTAGCCGGGTGTGGTGGTGGGTGCCTATAATCCTAGCTACTCAGGAGGCTGAGGGAGAAGAATCACTTGAACCCAGGAGGCAGAGGTCGCAGTAAGCTGAGATTGTGCCACTGTACTCCAGCCTTGGCAACAGAGTGAGACTCTGTCTCAAAAAAAAAAAAAAGCCTAAAGTCTAGGTGAGAAATTTCTGGAGGAAAGATTTCATCACCAATATTACCACTGTTACTCTTAAATGTAAATCTTTATAAATGCAAAAAACAGGAGCAGTTTCAATGTCCCAACAGTACCAAAAATGGTTATTTAATTAAATTATGGTATATCCACTCAAGGGAAACACGCATCCTTACAAATTATAATTACAACATAGAAAAATGCTCATCACAGGCTGGGTTGTAGTGGCTCACACTTGTAATTCCAGCATTTTGCAAGGCTAAGGTGGGTAGATCACTTTGAGCTCAGGAATTCAAGACCAGCCTGGGCAATATAGTGAGACCTCATCTCTACAAAAAAATAAAAAAAATCAGCCAGGCATGGTAGTATACGCCTGCTGTCCCCCCAGTCACTAGGGAGGCTGAAGTGGGAGGATGGCTTGAGCCCAGGAGGTGGAGGTTACAGTGAGCAGAGATCATGCCACGGCACTCCAGCCTGGGTGACAGAACCACAACCTGCATCCAAAAAAAAAAAAAATTTCATAACAATATTAAGTGTAAAAATAAAATTAAATAAATATTAAGTGAAAAAATAAATTAGAAAATAGCATGAGCTGGGTGATGTGGTGTGAGCCTGCAATCCCAGCTACTCAGGAGGCTGAAGCAGGAGGATTGCTTGAACCTAGTAGTTAACAGACAAGCCTGGCAACAGAGTGAGACACTGTCTCAAAAAAAACTGCAGGACTATCATGACAATATTTACATAAACTATTTATACAAATGGCCAAAGACTTGAAAGTAATATGCAAAAATAAATAAATAAATTATGGATATAGGATTATATAATATAACCCTTTAAAAAATAAATTTAACAAAAACTTCAAATGACTTTATTATAATTTTTTAAAATATTAAGTCCTTTGCCTGGGGGTGGTGGCTCACGCCTGTAATCCCAGTACTTTGGGAGGGCAAGGTAGGCAGATCACTTGAGGCCAGGAGTTCAAGACCAGTATGACCAACATAGTGAAACCCTGTCTCTACTAAAAATACCAAATAAATAAATAAAAGTCCTTAAATAGTTTATTTTTCCATTTCACTTTTCAGTTTTTGTATTTAAAAAAAAAAACTGGTCTGTCCAGGCACAGCAGCTCATGCCTGTAATCCCAGCACTCTGGGAGGCCAAGGTAGCATTTGTCTTCTGCAATGACATGAGTATCTCAGCTCAGATGGTCATCTTTATAAAGCTGTGGGTGTTGTCGCAGTACCAACAGCTATCTGTACCCCCTTAACGGATGGAAACACTGATGTAAAGAACCAGTTGTCTAAAACTTCTAATCAAGATAGTATAGGAATCACAATCAGTCAGGGATACCAGTTTCCAATTAAGCAATCATATCACTTAACCAGCTTCTTTTGTAAGGAAGGGGTTTGATGGATATGATCTCTGCTTGACTCTTGCTAACAATTCAGGAAGCATTCACTATGTTTTGTTAAGTGAATGGGTAGGAAAAGGGTTTCAAAACAATGGCAAAGCTCCTGCTCTTAGGAAGCTTATAATCTTTTGGGGTAAAACTTACAAATATGCAACAACTAGAAGACAATTACTTTTATTCTTATTTTTATTATTATTTTTTTCGAGATACAATCCTACTCTGTTGCCCAGGCTGGAGTGCAGTGGTGAGATCTCAGCTCACTGCAACCTCTGCCTCCTGGGTTCAAGCAATTCTCCTGCCTCAGCCTCCTGAGTAATTGGGATTACAGGTGTGCACCACTATGCCCAGCTAATTTTTATATTTTTAGTAGAGATGGGATTTCACCATGTTGGCCAGGCTGGTCTCAAACTTTCTTCCTGACCATGGAAGGTAATTACTAAACAACCTATGAACTAATGTACAAACTATATCCAGTAACTAAAGGAATAAGGAATAATCAAAATGGCCTCAGTCAAAAATGCTGACCAAGTTTTGGCAGACAAATCAACCTGTGTCCTATAAAAAGGTGACAGCCATGGACTGAGGAAGAAAGAGGAAGAAAGAACTTCAGGGCTGCATATTCCCCTTGCATGGGGATAGTATGCTGAAGAACGTGGAATGAGAATGGGGGGCTGCCAAGTAGGGACAGTTGGCGCCAACCCTGGGTATTAGCCTAAAAGTTTTTTAAAATTATATTTTAAAAGATTTTTTTAAATTGAGACAAGCTTTCACTATGTTGTCCAGGCTAGTCTCAAACCCCTGAGCTCACGGTGCTCCACCTGCCTTGGCCTCCCAAAGAGCTAGGATTACAGGTGTAAGCCACCCTGCCTGGCCAATATTAGGCTAAATTTAGATCTTACATGGAAGGAAAGATGGGCAGTAAAGAAGGACTATAAGGAGGTGGTAAGTAACTTAGGCAGAGAAATGAAATAATAAAGTATGTATTTTACTTCAGAATACTTCCTAAAATATATCCAGAAAAAAAGAATTATTTGGGATAAACAAGACTATTTCTGGTGCACAGGGACTCTTTTTTTTTTTTTTTTTTTTTTTTTTTGAGACGGATTTTCGCTCGTTACCCAGGCTGGAGTGCAATGGCACGATCTCGGCTCACCGCATTCTCCGCCTCCTGGGATCAGGCAATTCTCCTGCCTCAGCCTCCTGAGTAGCTGGGATTACAGGCACGCGCCACCATGCCCAGCTAAGTTTTTGTATTTTTAGTAGAGATGGGGTTTCACCATGTTGACCAGGATGGTCTCGATCTCTTGACCTCGTGATCCACCCGCCTCGGCCTCCCAAAGTGCTGGGATTACAGGTGTGAGCCACCGCGCCCGGCCGGGATTCTTCTTTAATACAGTAGTCCTCCTTTATCTGTGGTTTTGCTTTCCACAGTTTCAGTTATCCATGGTCAACTATGGCCCAAACATATTAAATGGAAAATTCTGAAAATAAACAATTCACAAGTTTTAAATCTTGCACTGTTCTGAATAGTGTGATGAAATCTCACACAATCCTACTCCTTCTTTCCTGGAAATCGTCTGTTTGTCCAGCGTATCCATACTGTCTATGCTACTAACCTGTTAGTCACTTATGAGCCATCTCAGCTGGATGAACTATCATGGTATCTCAGTGCTAGTGTTCAAGTAACCCTTATTTTACTTAACAATGGCACTAAAGTGCAAGAGTAGTGATTCTGACAACTTAGATATGCCAAAGAGAAGCAGTAAAATGCTTCCTTTTGAGTAAAGGTGAAAATTCTTACATAAGGAAAGAAAAAAAAATTGTATGCTAAGGTTGATAAGATCTACAGTAGAAATGAATCTTCTGGCCACTTAAAGAAGTGTAAAGAAGAAAAAAAGAGTGGCCAGGCCACGGTGGCTCATGCCTATAATCCCAGCACTTTGGGAGGCCAAGGCAAGTGGATCACCTGAGGTTAGGAGTTCGAGACAAGCCTGGACAACATGGTGAAACCCATTATCTACTAAAAATATAAAAATTAGCTGGACATGGTAGTGGGCACCTGTAATCCCAGCTACTCAGGAGACTGAGGCAGGAGAATCAACTGAACCCAGGAGGTGGAGGTTGCAGTAAGCTGAGATGGCGCCATTGCATTCCAGCCTGGGCAACAAGAGCAAACTTCTGTCAAAAAAAAAAAAAAAAAAGAAAAGAAGGGAGGGAGGGAGGGAGGGAGGGAAAAGAAATGATCAGGCCGGGCGTGGTGGCTCATGCCTGTAATCCCAGCACTTTGGGAGGCTGAGGTGGGCAGATCACAAGGTCAGGAGTTCGAGACCATCCTGGCTAACCGTGTTAGCCAGGATTATTTAATTATTTCTAGAGATGGGTAACCCATCTCTAGAAATAATTAAAAAAGAAAAAAGAAAACGAAAAGAAATGGCCAGCATGAGCACCATTCCATCTAAACTTTGTCCTAGTCACTACACCCATAGATATGCTGCCAAAAGGAAAGGCTGTCAAGCATAAGGAAAGGAAATGGTGCTAAAAAACTTCAGAAACATGCATCTGAAGAAATCTGGTAGAGGAATCAGTAATTGGAAGACAGATACAGATTGCAAACATTATTGTGAGGCCTCCAGGAATCCTTCAGGAGAGGAAACTGTGCGTAAGGTGTAATTCCCTACTTCTGACACCCCACAGACTGCCTGCCATGGGGCAAAGCAGCAGCTGGTAAGTTATAAGAGGCCCCCAACCCATGGCTTTTTCCACTGAACAAAAGGAAAATTTTGTTTCCTGTAAATTTCCCAAGGGAAAGGCAAGGAGTTATGAGAGTTGGGTTTATAAAGCATGACAAGTCTCAAATCCTTGACAGTCTTTCGTAATCAGCACTGCCAAATGAATCAAATTTCTCTTGTTGGGGTCAAAATCTAATTGAAAAATATAAATTAGAGCACAATAATTTTCTTTATCATAAAGTATTTTCCTTCCTCCCTTACTATAAGTCAAATAACCTTTAGATGAAACATTAACACTAACAATCTGGCTTTTCAGTGAAATCAAATGCAGAATGCTCACTGACCACTGACAAATGGGCTGTGCTTATGCTCTCAATTTGGCAGTGACTGAGGAATAAAAAAGTCAGTCAAGGAGGCAAGACAAGTTCCTGAAGGAAAGCAAGCTTTGTCTTCAGCTGCCACAATATGACAGGGGCTACTTACATGGTTTCTGTCCTGGGACAGCAGCAATATTCTAAGGCTTTTCATGCTTGAGCTTCTATCCAAAATGTCAATTGCTTTATCAAGATCATCTTGGTTTTTCAGCAGGATGGAGAGCTGTGATACAAGACAGAGAAAAGGGAAATAATATAAAACAGAAGTCTATCTCAATGTTTCACTTTGCAGAAATAAACAAAAAACAAAAGTAAGTTTGGAGGAAAATAATCTCATTGGATACTATGGGGTCTTAAAAGATCTAGTTGAAACTAAAGAGACTTTTTTTTCTCTAAATATACAATTCAATAATTTGCAGTACCTTTACATAGTTGTGCAACCCAATTTTAAAACATTTCCAAAACTCCAGCAGGATATCTAGTGCCCATTTATGGACTCCTCCTTCCTACCTCCAACCCCAGGCCACCACTACTCTACTTTGTGTCTCTATAGATTTGCCTTTTCTGGACATTTCATTCCATTTAAAATCATACAATTCATACATACTCATTTCAATTCATAAGGATTCAATCTTTTGCATCTAGCTTCTTTCACTTAATGTTTTTTAGTTCATCCATGCAGAAAACACCTCAGTACCCGGTTGTGAGATACTTTCTGAGAAGAGCTTCCTCTCCAAAACTACCATGTACTTCAAAGCATCATATCACAAACAGTTATAGCCCCAATATTCTTTTCCAAATTAAGCAGCAGAATCATGTCCCACTCTATCTCCAATTGCACTGACATTAAAAGAACAAGCAGAAAAGGAACAGGACGGGCAGAGGAATGGTCAGAGGATGAAAACTGTTACACAAATACAAACATAAATTTAGACTGCAGAGGATGGTTTAAAATCTTTCTGTTTAAGGGCAAAGTCAATGACTAGAACCTGTAAACTACCTCCTCCATTCTAATGGAGGTTTTCCCCCTTTGCTTAGCACTTCTCTCTCCTGTCACCATATGGACATGTATGCTTTCCCTTCCGTCATGATTTTAAGTCTCCTGAGGCCTCCCCAGCCATGCTGAACTGTGAGTCAATTAAACCTCTTTCTTTTATAAATTACCCAGACTTGGGCAGTTTCCTACAGCTGCATGAGAACAGACTAAATACACTCATATGTTTCAGTCAAGTATTAAATAGAAGGTCCCTGAGGGTACAAATAAGTTTCACTCACTGCAAAAAGCAGAGCATGTTATGAATACTTCGTATTAAGAGATTCATAAAATGCAAAAGTGTTCCTCGCCTATGACCTAGCAAACTTCAGATCTTATTGTTATTTGGAGACAGAGTCTCACTCTGTTGCCCAGGCTGGAGTGCAGTGGCACAGTCTCAACTTGCTGCAACCTCCACCTCCTAGGTTCAAGCAATTCTCCTGCCTTAGCCTCCAGAGTAGCTGGGATTACAGGTACATGCCACCACGCCCCACTAATTTTTTTTTTTTTTTTTTTTTTTTAGGAGAGGCAGGGTTTCACCATATTGGCTGGTCTTGAACTCCTGACCTCAAGTAATCTGCCTACTTTAGCCTACCAAAATGCTGGGATTACAGGAAAGAGCTACCACGCATGGCCAGATTTTATACATGTATGGAAAACACAAAATCAAGCAAAAGTCCAACCAGTTTATTCGGTGCCCAATTTATAATACAAGATTTTTTCTGATACAGCATCTCCCTCTGTCACCCAGGCTGGAGTGCAGTGGCTTGATCTCGGTTCACAGCAACCTCCATCTCCCAGGTTAAAGTGATTCTCCTGCCTCAGCCTCTCAAGTAGCTGGGATTACAGCATGAGCCACCATGCCCGACTAATTTTTGTATTTTTTTATATAGACAGGGTTTCACCATGTTGCCCAGGTTGGTCTTGAACTCCTGAGCTCAAGCAATCTGCCCACCTCAGGTCTCCCAAAGTGTTGGGATTACAGGCATGAACCACCACGCCTGGCCAAAAACAGTATATATTTAAAATAAAATCTCAAAACTACTTATGGAATGGGGGCATGTTCTGCAAATCATATTACATTGCAAAATAATTTCTTCCTGGGTGACAGTCAAAGTGGGAATAAAAAACAATTGTTCGGAAGGGAGTTAAATAAATTGGAGTAGGTGTTGGGAAGGGAGTTAAATAAATTGGAGTAGGTGTCAAAAAACCAAGTAGCTGGGCATAGTGGCTCACACCTGTAATCCTAGGAAGCTGAGGCAGAGGATCACCTGAGGTCATGAGTTTAAGACCAGCCTGGGCAAAATAATGAGACCCCTATTTCTACAAAAATTTTTTTAAATTGTGGTGGCACATGCCTGTAGTCTCAGTTACTAGGGAGACTGAGGAGGGAGAATCACTTGAACACAGAATGTAGAGGCTACGATGAGCTATGATTGCACACCACACTCTGGCCCGGGCAACAAAGTGAAACCCTATCTCAAACCAAAAACAAAAGCAAAACCCACAGTGACATATTACTTTACACCTACTAGGATGGCTACTAAGAAAAAAACAAATGTTGCTAAGGATGGTGGAGAAACCGTAGCCCTCATTGGTATGGTTTGGCTGCGTCCCTGCCCAAATCCTGTCTTGAATTGTAGCTCCAATAATCCCCACTAAAGTAAAGACTTCAGTGTCATGGCAGGGACCTGGTGGGAGGTAACTGAATCATGGGTGTGGTTACCCCCATCCTGCTGTTCTCCTGATAGTGAGTTCTCATGAGATCTGATGGTTTTATAAGAGGCTTTTCCCCCTTTGTTTGGCACTTCTTTCTCCTATCGCTATGTAAAGGACGTGTTTGTTTTCCCTTCCATCATGATTTTAAGTTTCCTGAGGCTTCCCCAGCCATACTGAACTGTGAGTAAATTAAACCTCTTTCCTTTATAAATCACCCAATCCTGGGCAGTTTTTACAGCAGAGTGAGAACAGACTAATACACTCATACATTGCTAGTGGGACTATAAAACTGTGCAACCATTATAGAAAAGCTGGGCAGTTCCTCAAAAAGTTAGAGTTATCTTATGACCCAGCAATTCTACTCCTAGTATATACCTTACAGAATCGAAAACATATGTTCATGTAAACACTTGGACACAAACGTTCATAGCAGCACTATTTAATCACCAAAAAGTGAAAACAGCCCAAATATCTATCAGTAGATGAACAGATACACAAAATGTGGTATATCTGTAAATGGAATATTTATCATGCAGTCATAAAATAGAATGAAGTACTGACAATATGTTGTAACACAGATGACCCTTGAAAACATATGCTTAGTGAAAGAAGCCAGATAAAAAAGGACACATACTGTATGATTCCACTTACATGAAATGTTCAGAATAGGCAAATCCAAAGAGACAGAAAGATAAGTGCTTACCAAGAGCTCGGAAGAGGAGAGAAAGAGGAATAACTGCTAATGGGTATAGGGTTTCTCTTCAGAGTGATGAAAATGTTCTGTAGGCTGGGCGCAGTGGCTCATGCCTGTAATCCCAGCACTCTGGGAGGCTGAGGCAGGCGTATCGCTTGAGCTCAGGAATTTGATATCAGCCTGGGAAACATGGCAAAACGCTGTCTCCATAAAAGATACAAAAAAATTAGCTGGGTGTGGTGGTGTATGCCTATAGTCCTAGCTACTTGGGGGGCTGAGGCGGGAAGATCGCTTGAGTGCAGTAGGTCAAGGCTGCAGTCAGCCGTGTTTGCAACACTGCACTTCCAGCCTGGGCGACAGAGCACGACTCTGTCTCAGAAAAAGAAAGAAAATGTTCTGGAATTAGACAGTGGCATTGGTTACACAACTCTATCAGCATACTAAAAGCCACTGAATGGTATACTTTAAGAGGATAAATTTTGTATCTCAATAAAGCTATAATTACAAAGACATAAATAAAATAAAATCTCAGTAGAGTTTTCATTTGGGATTCTCAGATCCTCACAGTGCAGGGTTTAAAGGACAAAGAAAAGAAAGAAATTGAGGGATTTTAAATTAATCAAATATAAGTTAGTCAATTCCTGATCATTAACATTAGCAGACATCATTAATGAGACATGTATGAACTAAAATAAGAACAATGATTTATATTTGGCTTTAGAATATAGAAATATCAGGAATTCTTAATGAAAACACTAACTAAAAAAGACTACTTGAATCATCCAGAAAAGTCTTTACTAACTAAATAACTTTTTTTTTTTTTTTTGAGACAGAGTCTCACTCTGTAGCACAGGCTCAAGCAGGTACAATCTCGGCTCACTGCAACCTCTGCTTCCCAGGTCCTGGTTCAAGCAATTCTCCTGCCTCAGCCTCCCAAGTAGCTGGAATTACACGTGCGCACCACCATGCCCAGCTAATTGTTTTTGTATTTTTAGAAGAGATGGAGTTTCACCATGTTGGCCAGGTTAGTCTTGAACTCCTGACCTTGTGATCCACCTACCTTGGCCTCCCAAAGTGATGGGAGTACAGGCATGAGCCACTACGCCCGGCCAAGAACATCTTATTTAATGGTGATTAGCTAACTGACTTTAGCCTCACTTTCATACACAATTACTAAACCTTGGACTGCACTATGTGAAATTTTTTAAAGTTCTGTGGATTTGACATTTATATTTTTGGGATTCTAATACCTTATATCTAAAATGTGTTAGTTTATATAGTTTGAACTATTTGCATCTGTATTATTAACTAGAGAGTTAGTAACTTGTTTTCCAAATTTTCTGTATTCTAAAATTTATCCAAAAAAAGCAAAAGATCAGAAGGTTTTATTTTAGTAAGCTATTTGACAGTAGCTGTATATTTTGTAGGAAGGGGACCAGAGAGTGTTTCAGCAAAAAAAATCTCAGCACCTGCAGATTTCACTCGTAAACCACAAAGAAAAATTTTAACTCCTCATCAAATAAAATAAAACTACACAGTGATGATCTGACTCTCAAAGGGTCATCATATTTCCCAGCTTTCTTGTCTTGCACCCCTAACCCAGTTTCCTCAAGGTACACATTCTTTACTCAGCATAAATACACCATCTTTCAGACTACTGCAAAGCACCAGCCTAAGCTAACTGTAGCCTTTAATATTCTTCTTAGAGCTGGGAAAGCAGCCCAGAAACTAATATTCAAAAGAATTCCTTCCTGGGTGATATTCAAAGGAGAAATAAATAAGGACTGTTGGGGTGGAGTGAGGAGGAGGAGGAGTTAAAGAATTTATTGGAGCAGGTGCTAACTTTTGAAACAAATAAGCTCCAATCAGAAGTTAAACTCTGAGAGAAGAATCCAGCATTTGTAACTGTAACAGATGATCTGCTCACTGGTTTGTCACACCTCCCTAGCCGCTGCTGAACCCTCTGCTTCTTGTTAAGGCTGTGCTAGGGGCAAAAAAAAAAAAGATACTCTTACAAAATGAAAAGGAGGCAATATAAGCCCTGTAGACCTGGTATCATCCCTGATTCCACCATGGAATATTAGAGTTATTTGCACTGAGTAAGTAGGGGGAATGGAGATGGCTGAGTAATCTCCCATGTAGTAAAAAACAGAAATCCTGAAGTTGTTGGAATTAAGAAAACGGGGTCTAGACAATGAAAACCTGCAGATGATTTTAGAGGAACAAACTTTAAAAGGCTCTGTTGGGGCCGGGCGCAGTGGCTCAAGCCTGTAATCCCAGCACTTTGGGAGGCCAAGGCGGGAGGATCATGAGGTCAAGAGATCGAGACCATCCTGGTCAATTTGGTGAAACCCCGTCTCTACTAAAAGTGCAAAAAATTAGCTGGGCATGGTGGCGCGTGCCTGTAATCCCAGCTACTCAGGAGGCTGAGGCAGGAGAATTGCCTGAACCCAGGAGGCGGAGGTTGCGGTGAGCCGAGATCGCACCATTGCACTCCAGCCTGGGTAACAAGAGCGAAACTCCATCTCAAAAAAAAAAAGGCTCTGTTAAACAGAGAGAAAAAAGTAGGCATCTGTTCCTCTTGTCCCTGCCCCATCCATCTACCTTCTCACCTCATTGTTCATGTAATGTAAATCAAGAGGTTGTCCAAATACTGTTGTCACCTTGTGTTCCACATCTTCGTATTTCACAGGCCGGCTGAACGCTATAATTCTGAAAAGAAACAGAAAGGCTGGTTAACCATATACTTAAAATGTAGGGTTTAGAAACAATGGTCTGAGTATATTCTTTCTTTCTTCTCAGCATAGGATTCTCTGTTTTCTTTCACTCGGTTTGCCTCGTCCCTATTGTTTCCTTTTTCCTCTTCTCTACCTTTACCTTTTCACCCTCTGAGCATCTATCAGGTTTGACAATGGTACTCATAACTATTGCTCATTACCAACCATTAATCTACCACTTCAGCTTAGACTCTTCTGCCAATGACAGAAGAGGCCACTAGAAACTATGTTCCAACAAATGAGAACATACATACACATGGAGAGGGAACAATACACCCTGGGGATGTTGGGGCTTGAGGAGGGAGAGCATCAGGAAGAATAGCTAATGCGTGCTAGGCTTAATATGTAGGTGGTGGATTGATCAGTGCAGTAAACCACCATCGCACACGTTTACCTATATAACAAACCTGCACATCCTACACATGTACCGCAAAACTTAAAAGTTGAAAGAAAAAATTATTTAGGAAATAAACTAGAAAACGTGAGACTGGAAACATAGAAATAAGCTAGAAAACATAAGCTAGAAACATAGCAGTCCTGAAAATATGGCCTCAACTCCTAAGGGACTCAACTCCAGGACTTGAAAAGTCTTTTCCATTGTTCATCTTTGAGATGCCGTAAGAATCTCAACACTGATTTTCCTCAGAATTAAGATTTTCTACTACAGAATCATAGGAATTCCCCCTTGAGTTGGTGATATGCCTGATCAGTTTTCTTAACCAGTGACATATCTGGACATGTAAGTGGTACTGACATTGAAGCTTTTCTGGAGAGACTCATTAGGTCAGTTCAAAGAACAATTTCTGTAAATACAAGGTAGAGACTAGGAGCTCAAGATCAGCCTGGGCAACAGAGTGAGACCTCTTGTCTACTAAAGATTTTTTTTAAAATTAGCCAGGTATGGTAGTACATGCCTGTAGTCCCAGCTACTTTGGAAGCTGAGGTGGGAGGATCACTTGAGCCCAGAAGGTCAAGGCTATAGTGAGCTGTGATCGAGCCACTGAACTTCAGCCTAGGTGACAGAATGAGACCCTGTCTCAAAAAATATATATACATATACATATTGTATATGTATATATATTTTCTTTTTTTGAGGCTCCTAGCCTCAAGCGATCCTCCTATCTTGGCCTCCCAAAGTGCTGGGATTACAGGTGTGAGCCATCATGCCTGGTCCCCAAGATTTTTTTAAATCCTGTATTTGTATGAGTTTCTTTATGAAAAAAAGAAAAAAAGTATACATATATACATAGACATACACATACTCACATACACACACACATATATATATGGAGTAGAGAAGGTCTTCCTAAGCATAACATAAAATACAGAAGACAAGAAGACACGCTAGGCAAGATAGCTCACACCTGTAATCCCAGCACTTTGGGAGGTGGAGGCGGGTGATCACCTGAGGTCAGGAGTTCAAGACCAGCCTGGCCAATATGGCAAAACCCCATCTCTACTAAAAATTAAAAATTAGCTGGGCATGGTGGCACATGTCTATAATCCCAGCTACTTGGGAGGCTGTGGCAGGAGAATCACTTGAACCCAGAGGTTGCAGTGAGCTGAGATCATACCACTGCAACCTGGGTCTTGCCTGGGTGACAGAGCAAGACTCCATTTCAATAAATAAACAAACAAACAAACTTCAGCCAGGCGCAGTGGCTCATGCCTGTAATCCCAGCACTTTGGGAGGCTAAGGTGGACGAATTATGAGGTCAAGAGATTGATATCATCCTGGCCAATACGGTAAAACCCCAACTCTACTAAAAAAATACAAAAATTAGCCAGGCATGGTGGCATGTGCCTGTAGTCCCAGCTACTTGGGAAGCTGAGGCAGGAGAATTGCTTGAACCCAGGAGGTGGAGGTTGCAGTGGGCCGAGATTCCGCCACTGCACTCCAGCCTGGCCCCTGGCGACAGAGCGAGACTCTATCTCAAAAAATAAAATAAAAATAAATAAACTTCTGATGGCAAATGAACCATCAGCAAACTTAAATAACAAACCTGGAGAAAATACTTGTAAAAAGTCAATACAAAAAATCTAACAGAAAAGGCAAAAGATTAGACAATTCACGGGAGAATTTTAAGTGGCAAATGAAACACATGAAAAGATGCTCAATGTAACTGGATAAATGAAAATTAAAACAACCTTCATCACTTTGTACACCTAGGCAAGATAAAATCAGACTACCGTGTGTTGGAGCAGGCAGTATTCAGTCATGGGCCTGCACAGTTCTTGTCTTTTTCCACGTTGAGAGGAAGAAGTGTGTGGTTCTTTCTCATCTTCCTTGCTCCCCCAGAGTGGGAAGTGGTGTATCCAGAGGAAGAAGCAATAAGTCATAAGAGAGAGGGATCTAAGCCATTGAGTTTTAATAAAATCTGACCAGATAATTTATTTAATGTTTTTCTGTGTCAGGTTGGCTTAAGTCAGTGAGAAGCAAAAAAGCCTTCATCATCCAGAAATGCACCTGCACTATTCAATATGGCAGCCATTAGCCACATGTGGCTATTTAAAATTAAATTAAATTGAAAATTAGTTCCTTGCAGGTACAGTGGGCCACACCTGTAATCCCAGAACTCTGGGAGGCAGATCGCTTGAGCCCAGGAGTTTGAAACCAGCCTGGGCAACATGGCAAAATCCTGTCTCTACAAAAATTACGTGGGTGTGGCAGTGTGCCTGTTGTCCCAGGCACTTGGGAGGCTGAGGCAGAAGGATTGCTTGAGCCTAGGAGGGCACTGTACTCCAGCCTGGGCAACAGAGACCCTGTCTTTTTTTTTTTGAGACAGTCTTACTCTGCTGCCTAGGCTGGAGTGCAATGGCATGATCTTGGCTAACTGCAACCTCCGCCTCCCAAGTTCAAGCGATGTTCCTGCCTCAGCCTCCTGAGTAGCTGGGACTACAGGTGTGTGCCACCACACCCAGCTAATTTTTGTATTTTTAGTAGAGCTGAGGTGTTGCCATGTTGGCCAGGCTGGTCTCAAACTCCTGACCTCAGGTAATCTGCCCACTTTAGCCTCCCAGAGTGCTGGGATTACAGGTGTGAGCCACTGTACCTGGCCCAGAGACCCTGTCCTAAAAAAAAATGGTCTCTCCTCTGTCTCACCAACTACATTTGAAATGCTCACTAGCCACATGTACAGTAGCCATATGTGTACTGGACAGCACAAATATAGAACATTTCCATTATAGGAGAAAGTTCTATTAGGCAACATTGATAGACGATTACTATAAACTGCAATCTATCCTTCACGCAAAGCCTAACATCTCAAGAAGATACTTCCTTCATGTTTTTTCATTTGTCCACCACCTTTCATTTTTGGAAATTATACTACTAACCAAGTTAGTTTCATCTCCACTAGGAAATCCATTCAGACTGTAACTCTTACTTTTTTTTCTTCCAAATCAACTGTCCCAAGCAGTTGTTAGGTGCTCTCTAAATGGATTTTCTAGATGAGTGTTTTCGGAAGCCTTTTGAGAGGATAGCATTCTATTAATTCCCAATAGCAAATCATATCCCTCCTTCTTCAGGGCCTCAGCAACAGTTCAAAAGGGATCAGCCTTTCTGGATAAAATACCAGAAGTCCACTCAGATGTCCCTAGCACACTATTGAAAAACGATCATGATCAGAGACACATTCTTCTGCATGTGGCCTGGTAATGAGCCGTTCCAAACCCACAAAAGCAACATGAAAGTCTGATCAGAGGCCAGGACTTCCAGATTAGGTAAGATCTAAGCTGCTGCCATACTACAGGCATTTTTAGGCCAGTGCTTCAAAGAGAGGTCTAACACCTGTGAAACCATCCCCATCAGTGTGTCATTAATGTTTCCAGAGAGAAGGAGATCTTAATCTACAATCTTTCTCCCTAGCTATCCTGGGGCCAAGAGGGAGAAAACAGTCAGGGTCTGGTTGCATATTCTCAAAGTAAAGGGAAAATCAGCCCACCAGAATGAATACCTGTCATGGATAAGTGGGAAAAGTCAGGACTTCTTTCCTCTTTCCTGTGAATTCTAATTCTATAAGGGCCAACATTTAGATAAATACTATCCATATTCCTGGTAAAGAGTTAAAAATGCCTCCAATGATATCTCTACAAAATCCTGACATGAAATACACGAAACTAGAGCTGTCTGGCATGGAGTACTAACTCTATAGGCTTCCCTGCACCAACTTTATATAAAGTCCTCAATTCCACATATAGTGCACAAACACTGAAAGGTCATGGCTCCTGAAAACACCTCCATAAAAAGAGAATGAACCATTTTCAAAACTTTGATAGCAATGTTCAGCAGCTCAAGGCTTCAGAAGGCCATTCCTGCTTGACCACCTTAAATATTTGTGGTTTCAATCTGGCAGCTTCTCTGAAACCAAACACATACACTTTCTCAGTGTAAGCCTGCTCACTGTAACTGCATACCACTTTGGGAACAGGGAATTCAGGAGACCCTAACTGCATAATTGGGCTCTTACACAATTGAGCTTTTGATTGAAAAGTCTGTTGCTCTGAGTTTGGCCATCCCTTTAAAACTCAGGTTGGAAAGTATAAAAATATCAACAATGAAGTGATAATTTAACTTCTCTGCTAATGGCAGGACACAGGATGAACAGCTGGGGACAGAGCTCAGACCTTCATCCCTCCAGGCCTGGAACTCACATGTGAGCAGAAGGACCCTGGCTCTGCAGACCACACTTTCCACAATGTTTCCACTGGGCTGCCACTCACACCTTGTAGGCTTGTGACAGTGTATTTTAAAGGGAGAATAGTAGCCATAGGTATCCTCTGGAGCCAGCTGCAAAGTGGGCTGAAAGGCACCAGCTGCAGCGAACTACCAGAATCAAGAATGTTTGGAGGTACTAAGGTCCTGCAGTGAGATCTTATCCTAATGGGTATGCTCTTCACCTGTCCAAATGCTCAAAGCAAAGGAAAGGTGGGGCAGGGGATATATCAATGGGAGAGAAAGGCAAGGAGTGGAAAGGGCACAGTTATGTGTACATGTGCTGCACATGCGCAAACATGCAAGGTCCCAAATATCCCATGGGACTACTATTCTGGGACCAGAGTTCTATATGACCAGAGTTCTATATGCTTTCTGAATGTTTTCCTTAACTAACTTGAGAAATTAAGGACAGTCACATTTTTTTTCTACTAAGAACTTCTACCTTGGCTTCCCACAAAAATAACAATAACTAAAATACTGACAATGGAGAAAAGGACAGAAAAGTTTTCTCTCTTTTTTTTTTTTGAGACGTAGTTTCACTCTTGTTACCCAGGCTGGAGTGCAATGGCACGATCTCGGCTCACCGCAACCTCCGCCTCCTAGGTTCAAGCAATTCTCCTGCCTCAGCCTCCTGAGTAGCTGGGACTACAGGCGCGCCCCACCATGCCCAGCTAATTTTTTTGTATTTTTAGTAGAGACAGGGTTTCACCTTGTTGACCAGGATGGTCTCGATCTCTTGACCTTGTGATCCACTCACCTCGGCCTCCCAAAATGCTGGGATTACAGGCGTGAGGCACCGTGCCCGGCCTCAGAAAAGTTTTCTAACATTACTTTCACTTCCCTAATGAGGCAAGATTCAGAACACAGACCAAAAAACTCCCTCTTTCTACATCCTCAAAGGAGCTAAAATCTTTTACAACTGATGGACTTGGTGTAGCTTCCCATGACCTAGGGACATCATGAAGGAACTTCTAATTCACCAACCTGACCCTTGATGTGGACAAAGCTAGGACTACTATTCTGGGAATAGAAATGCCACCATATTACAGGAGAATCCTGCCCTCCCTCTAATGCCCACAGGTGACACAGTGTCAGTGTCTGAAAGCCATGACTCTGAGTAGAGCTGGAGTCCTCACTTCTAACAAAATGTCAGACCTCACAGTAGCAGAATAGAGCAGAATAGGAAAACATCAGCAGGTGAAATGGCTTCCAATGCGAAGATAGAAACAAGGTCAATTAGCAGGCCAAGTTAAGGGTGAAACTTTCTTCCCTTTATGCCCAATCCACCCCATTACCCAGCCAGTGGCCCCACAGGTAGGGATAAGGACAGGGGAATGACTTCCATGAACTCAATGCTATCTGAGAACTCTGGCATACATGAACACATCCACTGATCAGAAGGCAGACTTACCGCCTCTCCCCGTTGTGCTCAAACTTGATTCTGACGTCACTCTGCCAAAAGGAATGATAGACAGGTTAGAGGATTCTCTGGAATGTGTCACTCCTGCCATTCCCAGGTAAGCCTTAGGCAGTCCGTTAGTGACATTAGGCAAACATCCCTGATGGCTCCTGGTCCAGCTTCTCTTCCCAGATGGGCATGGGCATTCCTTTCCAGTGAGTTAAGACTTCCAGTTCTAACATTAGGGGCAACAACGCTCTTAGGATAAAATCCCTAGATGGCTGCTGTTTCTAGCTTCATACACACCCTATTTCTACAATTGGCTCTGGAAATTTCTCCCACTCTATCACCTCCTGACCAGAATACCTTTCCTTCTTGGCTGATGTGACTGAAGACAAAAAGAAATTTTGCTGCTGATGCTTTCTAGCTATATGATTACAGGCAAGTTACTTATCCTCTACGAGTCTTAGTTTTTCCATCTGTAGAGTAAGGCTAAACATCCCTTGCAGAGGTCTTATGACAACTAAATGTAAGCAAAATACCTGACACATAGTAGACATGCAACATTTGGTTTTTGCTGCTGCTGCCGTTGGTACCACTATCATTGATTTCCCATGACCCTCCCAAGGCTACCCCACTGGAAGTACAGTAGGACCCTGAACGGATTACCTTATACACTGTCCCCAGCCTTTTCCAAAATGACCACCATGAGAGGCTGTAAATTGCAGGAGAGCAGAGAATCAGGTCTATGATGTTTCTGTATTCCCAGTGCCAAACATAGGAAATGGGGTATAATATTTGCGCTTAATAATATTTAAGTGGTTGAATGAATTGAAGAACAGAAGTATAAATGTAAGAAATAAGAGGAAGTGGAAGTGTTAAAATGACAAAGAACAAATTAAGGAAGAAGAGATATTGCAAGAGGGCAAACAACTTGAGGGGGTTTTTAAAAATGACAGGGAAAGGAGAAAGATATTACAGAAGAACAGGTATAGAGGAAAAGAAAGGTAAAATGGGCAGGAAACCAGCGAATAATAGAGATGAAGGAGAGAATGAAGTCACAGTCAATGGATAATTATACTGAGGAAGACAAACTAATAGGCTGTGACAGGCTGGGCACAGTGGCTCACACCTATAATCCCAGCACTATAGGAGCTCCAGGCAGGAGAATCACTAGGTCACAAGTTTGAGACCAGCCTGGCCAACATGGTGAAACCCCATCTCTACTAAAAATACAAAAATTAGCCAGGCATGGTGGCACATGCCTGTAATCCCAGCTACTCAGGAGGATGAGGCAGGAGAATTACTTGAACCTGGGAGGCAGAGGTTGCAGTGAGCCAAGATCATGCCATTGCACTCCAGCTCTGGGCAATAAAGCAAGACTCTGTCTCAGAAGAAAAAAAAATAGGCTGTGGCTTGGAAAAAAGAGGACTTAAGAGTATCTGAAGATAAGGAGCACATAGCAAAGAAGATGACAGAAAAGGGAGTGAGTTTGAAAGGTAGGATGGGTCCCAAAAGGACTCCCTTCCCTTTTCCCAAGACATTAGGGGACTACATTTCTATTCCAGTTCAATGAATTACAAGAGTGGTTCTAATTTACGCTGTAAATATTATTAAGGACCCCAAAGAGCTTTTGCTTATGTGGATTATATCTATTAATATTTATCATATTCAAAATTAAAACTGAGAAAATTTACTTTATTCATTTAAAATGGCAAATAAAGGCCAGGCACAGTGGCTCACCTCTGTAATCCCAGCACTTTGGGAGGCCGAGGCGGGTGGATCATGAGGTCAAAAGATCGAGACCATCCTGATCAACATGGTGAAACCCCGTCTCTACTAAAAATACAAAAACTTAGCTGGGCACGGTGGCACGTGCCTGTAATCCCAGCTACTCAGGAGGCAACCCAGGAGGTGGAGGTTGTGATGAGCCGAGATCGCGCCATTGCACTCCAGCCTGGGCAACAAGAGCGAAACTCCGTCTCAAAATAATAATAATAATAATAATAGCTAATGTTTACTGAGCGTTTACCATGTACCAAGGCGTGTTTGCATATATTAATTAAACTGATCCTCACAACAAGTACCATTATTATCCCTATTTTACAGAAAAAAATCTGAGTTACAATGAGATTAAGTAAATTACCCCGAGGTCAGGTCATATCGCTTATAAAGGAAGAGGTAGGCTTTGAACCATGGAAGCCTGACTCTTAACTACGAGGCTATGCTACTACTTAAGTGTCACACAGGTATTGAGAGCAGTTTTTCATTATCTTATTTTTCTCTTTCCCCTGAAATTCTAAGCAGTTACTATGACAAGAGCCCTCCAAAGTAGAGCTGCCATGCTCTGACGTGCAGTCTCCAGCTTCCCACGCTATTTCCTCAACTGGCTCTGCAGTATCCCAAGTGCTCTGTGAAATTTGTAGTCTTGTCTGTCCCTACAGTTGGGTTACATATCCTTTTACCTGCTCCTGCCTACAACCCAGGATACCTTGCTATAGCTCTATTATTTAATTAATAAATTTTATTTTCAGAAGTTTTGGGTTTACAGAAAAACTGAGCATATAGAGCAGAGTTCTGAAATATCCCTCTCCACGTTGTACACAGTTTCCCTATTATTATTATTGTTATTACTGAGATAGCGTCTTATTCCTGCCACCCAGGCTGGTGTGCAGGTGTGTGATCATGGCTCACTGCAGCCTCGACTTCCTGGGCACAGATCATTCTCCCACCTCAACCTCCCACATAGCTGGGACTACAGACAAGCACATGTCACCACACTGGGCTAATTTGTAACTTTTTGTAGAGATGGGGTCTTGCCATGTTGCTCAGGCTAGCCTCAAACTCCTGGGCCCAAGCAATCTGTCCACCTTGGCCTCCCAAAGTGCTGGGATTACAGGTATGAGCCACTGCATCCATCCAGTTTCCCCTATTACTAATATCTTACATTAGTATGGTACATTTCTTTTTATAACAATTAATTAACCAATATTGATAAATCAACTGACGTCCATAGTTTATTCACTTATTTCCTCGGGTTTTTATTCTTTTTTTTTTTTGTCTAATTTTTTTTTTTTTCATTTTTAAAAGTTTTCGGCCAGGTATGGTGGCTCATGCTTCTAATCTCAACACTTTGGGAAGTCGAGGCAGGAGGATTGCTTGAGCCCAGGCAATGAGATTTTGAGATCAATCTGGGCAACATAGCAAGATGCCATCTCTACAAAAAATACAAAAATTAGCCAGTTGTGGTGGCACATGCCTGTAGTCTCAGCTACTTAGGAGGCTGAGGGAGGAGGACTGCTTGAGCCCAGGCAGGTTGAGGCTGTAGTCATCCATGATTACATGACTGCACTCCAGCCTGGGTGACAGAGCAAGGATTCTGTCTCAAAAATAAATAAATAAAATTTAAATTGAGGTTAAAAAAAAAAAAACACAATTATGTTTAAGCTCTCCTTAAACTGGGGTTTTTTTGGTTTTTTTTTTTTTGAGACGGAGTTTCACTCGTTACCCAGGCTGGAGTGCAATGGCGCGATCTCGGCTCATCACAACCTCCGCCTCCTGGGATCAGGCCAATTCTCCTGCCTCAGCCTCCTGAGTAGCTGGGATTACAGGCATGCGCCACCATGCCCAGCTAATTTTTTGTATTTTTAGTAGAGACAGGGTTTCGCCATGTTGACCAGGATGGTCTCGATCTCTTGACCTCGTGATCCACCTGCCTCAGCCTCCCAAAGTGCTGGGATTACAGGTGTGAGCCACCACGCCCGGCTAAACTGGGGTATTATATGTATTTTTCTAATTTTATTTTTTTTAGTTTTGGAGACAGAGTCTCGCTCTGTTGCCCAGGCTGGAGTGCAGTGGCACGATCTCAGCTCACTGCAGTCTCTGTCTCCTGGGTTCAAGTGATTCTCTTGCCTCAGTCTCCCAAGAAGTTTGGATTAGAGGCATACACCACCACACCCAGCTAATTTTTATACTTCTAGTAGAGACGAGGTTTCACCATGTTGGCCAGGTTGGTCTCGAACTCCTGACCTCAAGTGATCTGCCCAAACTGGCCTCCCGAAGTGCTGAGATTATAGGCGTGAGTCACCACGTCCAGCCCTAGGACAACATTTTACTTAGATATACTAATGAAGGAACCTTCTCAGTCCCTTTATGGAACTGAAGAAACTAAATTTATTTTATAACAGGCCATAACTTGAGCACTGCTTTACATGAATTTATTCAGAAAAGGAATTAAACGTTTGTTCCAAACCAAAAATCACTACTACTACAAGACTAACCGAGCTGGTGATTAAAAAGCAGTGTAAACAAAGATGCTTCTTTGATGCCATGAGCCTTACCAGCTTCCATAAACCACATGAGATGCCCAAATCTCTGAGTTCCTAAATCAGGCTGACCATAATAACCCATAGATAAGGGAAGTTCAGATAAAGGTAACTTGATTCAATGCCTTCCAGCCAGCCATTCTCCTTGCCCTCGCTGAGGCATTTCACACTGGTGGCCAACTCTATTTCCAACTTCTGTGACTTCTATGATTCTATCCCAGCACAGGGAACCTGCTACCACTCTGACCACTTCTGCTTCTTTGCTGGTTCCTCTTGTTTACGTTCTCTCCCACCCCTCCCCAAACACGTGACTATTCCTTGACCTTGTCACTTTTGACTTCTGGCTTTCTCCCCCTCTGCTGACAACTTCTCCTCAGTGGGCCTCTAACAGAAGATTCCCCAATCTCTATGCCTAGACCCAATCTCTGAAGCAAGTCTCATCTGCTTGCCACGTATCTGAGGCCAATATGTAGTTGTTAAGAACGTAGCAATGAAGTGCAACTGCCTCCTTCAAATCTTGGCTCTACAATTTTCTGGCTGTGTAACCTTGAACTCAGATTGGTACAAAAGTAATTGCAGTCTTTGCCATTAAAAGTAATGGCACTGCAGCCACATACTTAACCTATGACTTAGTTTCCTCATCTGTAAAGTGAGAATGATAGTATCCATCTCATGGAGTTATCAAAAGAAATTATAATACATGTCCATTATCCTTTAGCCAAAATTCT